CCCTGCCCGGCGTTCCCGCGGGCCCGCTCCGCCCTCTGCTGCCCCCGGCTGCGGGGCAGCGGCTGGGGCCTCGGCTTCTCCCGCCTCCCAAAACCAGACTCGCCCCGGGCGCGGCGCGGCCGGTGCCGGCCCCGGCCTCCGCGCGGAGGCTCCGCCCGCAGGGTTTTGCGTGGAGCGGGGCGGCCGGGGCCTAAAGCGTGTGCCTGCGCGTTAGCGAGTCGTGCTGTTGGCGTGTGACTTCTTTGCGAGTGGAGTGTGTGGCGTTGGTTTTGAGACACCGGGCCGTAACCGTGAATGCCCTTAATTTAGTCGAGACAGGTGTCGTCTCACAGGAGAGCGGGCCTGTTGACGTGCTGTATTACTCGGCTGCTCTTGTAGATGCTGCAAGGATGGATAAAACCCTATGAAGTGAAAAGGGAGAGTCAGCAAGGCTCTTGCCGAGTGCTTTTCACTGCTAAGGAAGCCTTGTATTCTTCCTTCAGATACCTTCTTAGCAAAGGGCTCTGCTACTCTGGACAAATTGAAGGACCTCTGTAACGAAGGGAAAGAACATCCTTCCACGCTTTTGCAGCTCTATACGCAGGTAGTATATTTAAAGCCTTAAGAGCTCCCGCTCAATAAAATCTCTGTAGGGTATGGGAGATGGCTGGGTGTAGGAAAGAGGGTACAGCACAGAGGCGATCCCTCTTACTCGGTGTGTGTGCTCAACATCCACGAAGTGCAGGGCTGCTTTTGCCTGGACTGGGTAACTCGAAGTCAATAATGATTGTGCTGGTACCGCAGGGAAAGAAAGGGGGTTGAGTTTACGTTCACTGTCAGCAATCTTGCAGTACTTTTAACTTGCAGCTTTTGTAAACCAAATGTTAAAAATTACCTTAAAATTGTCGTCTTTTATAAGCTGCAACAAGTTTGTATCTTACTGCACACCACCATTTGATTATTTTGCTGGTAGCATTTTTATGTTGTGTATCTTCTTGCTTTCGTAGGCTGTCTTAGACATTACGTATTCTGAGGAAAACCAGCTTGTGGATGAAGATTTCCCAGAAGAATCTGCCCTGCAAAAAGTTAAAGAACTTATTTCTGTTCTTTCAGAACCAGAAGACCTAGTGACGGAGTGCAGCATAAATGAAGAAGTGAGTACTAATGTTATTCAGCCAGAGAATTAATTATTTCATTACTTAAAAATTTAAAAATCTGAAATAGGGTAGTAGTATTTGTATTTTTGATGGGCAGAATTTAAGATCTTTTGAAAAACTTTCAAGTCTTACTTGTATTTAAATAGCGATTCCTGAAAGTATTTTTTCAAATAACTTGTTCTGTGTTCAGAGTTTTTCTTGCTAACATTTCATGATTCCGTGTGCTTTTGGCAGTTTAAATCCAAAGCATTACGCTTGTATGTGTGACTGTTGATGTTAAGTAGAGCCTGTAAAGTTAAGAGACTGAATATAACACAGTTTGCGTGTATATGAGTAGCTAAGATGGTTTACTTTTGGGTTATCCCAGTTTGTTGGATTTTTATTTCAGCCCGTCAACATCCTTGGTGCAGAGTTGTTAGAATGTCTTTACTGGAGAAAAGGAGCCCTGCTTTACATGCATTGTCATACAGCAAAAGAAAGGAGTGAATGGCTACAAGAAAACATTGCCATATTTAAAAAGGTAAAGGAGATTTAAAAGTTATATGAGCATGTGAATACACTTGTAAAGTTTGACTCTTTGCTTATGAAGTACAGCTTCTTGGTTTTTTTCCTTTTAAATAGGGTTGTGGGGAATTCATAGCGGGAAGTATTTCTGGCGATCATTAAATTAATCAGAACTTATCTAAAAGGTTTTTTTTTTTCTCCTCGTTTTTTAACTGTACTCAGTGTCTTAATGATGGAGTTCACTACTTGATGAAGATGCTTAGCTTTAGATGCCCTCTTCAGCTAAATGAAGACGTCTCACTTCAAGATAAAGACACAGCTAAATTACTCAGTGAAGGTAAAAAAAACCCAGACAAAAACAAACTTCCAAAAACCCTACAACCTGCTCCTCTTAGCAACTGCTCTACCTTATGAAATGCTTTATTGCATATTTTTGTTGTTTGACTGCATTTGTATTAAAAAACTGTCACTTTTTAGAACAAAAAAAGTAATATATAGGACAGATAAGCAGGCAGCAGTGCTCTCCCCTCCCCTCCTTTTGACTCATGGATTTTAGGAGGTGTCAGTGCTCATTTTCTCTGTGTTTCTGGGTGCACTGGAGGAAAGTGTACTGAGGCAAGGGGTGTTTCGTGCACAGTATGTGTGTTTTATAAACATCCAGGTGTCAGTTGACAAATGTTGAAAGCACAAATACGACTGCAGAGGATGCTGGATGTTCCCATATTGGTCTTCCTGTTTAGACCTAGGAGAACGCAGATAGGAACACAGAATTACTGACTTCGCACAGGTAGAAAGTACATGCAGAATTGGTTAGATTTGGCAAACTTTTATTCTGTCTCCACTTCATGTAGGTTGCATTACTGTAGTACATTTCCATGAGGATCTGAGGCTGCATCAGTGTGATGCAGGTAGGGTGATGCAGCAGGGGGGGATCTGTAAGGTAAAACAGCTGGTGCTGAGAACATGATGTCCACGTTGTACACACCCCAAACTAGCTCAGCTCTGGCTGTGGGGGGATGGAGCATCTTCTTGCTTAATTTCATCTGAAAGTGGTGCTGCTCCAATTCAGCTCCACAATGCAGAGTCACGTTCAGTAACTGATTTGTTAAAGATTTATTTAGCAGGATTTGTTCTTCCATGACCCTGTATATGTATGTTGCTTTCTATTCAAATACTAAAGCTGCTGCTGGTTAACCTGCGTTAAGATGATGCTCAAACAGCATCTTCTTTGAGGCTTAAATTGTGCCAGGCATAGAAGTATTCTAAAATGAATATGCATAATCATGCCTGCACTTAATGCATTGTAAAGAAACACTGAAATTCTCTAAGATAAATAGGCAAACACAATTATCACAATAATATTTATATGGCAATCTTTAAGATTTTAGCATTATGGAGGGGCAAAAGAGATAGAGAAATCAGCAAGGCCTTGGTCCGGGTTCTCTTCTGGGCAGTGTCAGTCATCTCATGGTTAAAATTTGGGTTTTTTGGTGTACCTCTTTAATAGGCTTATACTGCCTTTTTGGATTTTTTTTTTGTTCCCCACTGTTACTGAAGCAAATAATTTTGAAGTTAACAAGCTGTGTACTTGCTTATTACAGAACAATAAAGTACTTGATCTAAATTATCTTTGCAGGTATATTTAGTGACACTCACTTACTGGCAATGATGTACAGTGGAGAAATGTGCTACTGGGGACTGCGACTGTGTGGAGAAGGGAGGCAGGAAAGCCTTGAGACGATAGGTGCCGTCTCTAACAGTGACCTGGGCTGCAGATCACAGAGCGTGCCGCTGGATTTCCGAGAAACGGGCAGAAACATGTTAACGAAGTATGTGGCTGCCTGTGAGGGGCCTTTAAGAGGCCGCGGGTGGAACACAACAACAGCAAAGGACATGTTGCGCGACTTCGCAACATCCCGCAGCTAAAACCCGCTGCTTGAGCTGTGCTGGAAGAAACCTTGTGTCTGCAGAGCACGCGTGGGGAGCTGGTCTCTGCTTCAGTGTCTGACCGTTCTTCTTCTCAAAATGTATGCTCCTCTTACATTAAAAACGTGCATTCAAAGAACTCCCGTGGTACAGCTCCAACGGCTATGGTCACCCCCCCCCCCCATCGCCCAAAGAAGGCCTGCGCGCCCTCCGCCCCGCCTCGCCCACCCGCGCCGCCGCAGCGGCTCCGCGGGGCGGCGGGGCTTCGGCGCTTAATGGCGGCCGGCGGAGCGGAGGAGCGGGGCGGTTTGGAGGCTGCCGTGAGGGGTCGGCTCCGCGTCCATCGCTCCCGGAGGAGGTGAGCGCCCTGCAGGCGCTGCCGGTGAGTGGAGCCCGGTCAGGGTGGGCACCGAGGGGGTGGTGGGAGGGGAGGAGCTCAGCATCCCCCCTCTTGCATCTTCACCGCTTAATTCCCGAGTCGCTAAACGGCTGCTCTCGGCGGGTTTCAGATCGACGTGCAGCTGAACATCATGTCCTTCCTCTCGCCCCAAGATTTGTGCCATTTGGGGAGCACGAGTTGTTATTGGAGGGCGGCTGTGCAGGATCCGTTGTTGTGGAGGTATTTTCTCCTGAGGGATCTCCCCTTCTGGACATCCGTTGACTGGAAATCACTCCCAGATGGGGAGATCTTTAATAAAGCCTTTTCAGAGGTCAGCGATAATGCGCTGTATGATTACATGGCAATGTAAGTACCTTCATACTCTCTTACACGATTTGCAGTCTCTCTACAGCAGGCACATGCACCCCACGTGCATGTTTCTTATTTACAGCAGTAAAGCTGTGCTGTAAGCCGCTGCTTAAATTCTGATGTGTCTCAAATCCTTTGTTTTATTTTGGAAACACAATTTCCTGTTGTTTGACGGTTTTGTCAGCTCTTTCTGGTTGGAATTCAACAAGAATGTAAAATGTTGGAGAGAACACAAAGCTAATGTTGTAAAAAAATTAAAGCTTTTCGTGAACTGCATGTCTGCTATGCCACAGAAATACAGTCATCTCGGCAGCTGTGCATACTGTTGATAAAAATGTGTTCTTTGCTCTCAGTACAATGACACGTGGTTTCTTATTTTAATAAAAGTACTAAGAAGTCTTCAACTACAGCAATGGAATGAATTTTCATTTTTTTCATCTTACCTGGAAGACCTAAGGGAAAAAAAAAAGGGGGTTTTTTGAATGTGCACAGAATACAAGCAGTATTGCTTTAGCTCTGATGGTCAAATGCCATTAAGAAAAGACACACGTTTCAGCTAGTGTAGTTGAAAAGCATAGCAGCACTCATAATGAGTTTGGGTGACTAAGAAGAATGCTTAAGACAAGCAGATTATTCTGTGGGGGTTTTTTTGAACTTCATTCAATTCCCTAAATTAATTTGGAGTAATTATCTTTTTTTTAATTTGCATTTAAATTTTCCAAAGGTGGTTTCATGAAACTGTTGTTTCACTACAAGTGCACTAAACCTCTGCAGTCTCTGTGCCCTTCATCCACACTTTACAGATGGGGAAAGACATGCCCAGAATTTGAAGTGCAAAATAGCTGCTGGTTTTGAACGTGGATTTCAGTCTCTTTAGGTCTGAATACTTCAGAGCATCACCTATTTGAAAACACCTGTCACTAATTTCCATTGTGCCTGTGAGCGCTTGCTGCTTTTGCTGATCTCAACTGAAGCATCTCAGTTTGGGTGTAGAGGAACACACATTTAATCTTGCCTTGAAGTGATTTGTCCAGCAGCAGCCTACGGTGACCACAGAAGCAAAGACTGAAGCTGCTTCTCTAGGATGTGTGTCACTTCTGTGACTTAATTCTTTCCCTTGATTACCAACGTCTTTTCATGCCTTCCAGCTTCTGCATCAGATGAGCACATAAGCTTGCAAACACCTGTCTCCTTTCACAACACACATTCTCTGTGCCTACAGGGGAAATGCTCCTTTTCAGGTGGAGTTACCTGTTTCATAGTTCATAAACACAAAAGCAGTCAAAGTTTGAAAAGCACTCATAAGTCTCGTATTTTTTATATTGTATGTGACTCATGAGCTTTGATGTTATTTTACCAATATTGTGTGTTCAGTGATGGTGGGGGATTTTGTTATTTTATTTTTTAAAGTAAACTAAAAGATACATAGGTCCAAAAAGTCAGTATTTGGACTTCGAAAGGGCTGATGCCTTTACCTGCTTTGTACTGGTGCTTGAAACTACCAGTATGGAACGTCATCATTTTTACCAGTGCTTGAGTTGTGCCGGTAATGAAGCATGAGAAGCGTGGGACCTAAATCAATTTATGTTGTTTGATTAATACCTCTTTTGTATTTTAATTTCTAGTTGCATCTATTTTACACAGATATAAAAAAAGCTGTCCTCAGAGTAGAAGAAGTTTGAAATCAAGCCGTCCCCGGTATGGGGCTGTGACTTCCTTTTTGCAATCACTGGTCACTCAGGCAGAACCTCGCTTTGCTATGTTTGGGCCAGGTTTGGAAGAGCTGGATGACTCTTTAGTGCAAAAGATGATGACATGCCCAGAAGTTCTGCTAGTAGCTGGCTTACCTCAAAGACAAATTCATGGTAATGCTGGTTTTGGTTTTTTACTTTTTTATTTCATAAATAGATGTAACACAAAAAACATTGGGGGAGAAATGGAGAAAAGGGATGGTTTTTTCTCCCCTTGAAACTCTATAACATAATGGTAAAAAAAAAAAGTTTCTCTTTGTGTTTATTCTGAAGGATAAATGTAATAAACATTTGTGATAAAATTATAGCTGCAGTGAATTTATGCTTAAATTTGCACAATGTCACAGGGATCATTTTGCTCCTTGTACTTCTATTTTGAACCTAAATTCCACATCACACCTGCTGTTGTAATGGATAAACACAAAACTTTCTTTAGATACTGCTTGCAGAAAATGGCTAAAAAACACACTTGTGTTTTTATACAGGAAGTCAAGACTGATCCTTTGTATGATTCAGTCCTGTGTCAAATGGTGTAAATTTCATTTAGAAGAGTTACAGGAGCAGGTGAAGGATTTTTTTCAAAGTTTAAAAACACACATTTTAACATCTGTAAATTCACTTCAGTCCAAACCAAAGGCAAAAGCCTATTACTTTTTAAGCAGAATTAGAATAAGTAAATTATATTTATAGAAAGTGTGAAAATATGATTTCTTAGTAGCGTTACCTTTTTTTTTCCTCATGTCCTTTTCAATGCAGCTTATCATAAACAGACTAGAGCCTTTGCTATGCCAGTTTCAGCTAATAAACACAAGTCTAGCTTCTCTCTGGCTTAGGTTTCTAGGTTCAAGTCTAAGTATCAGAAACATGGAATTGCCTCCTTGTTTTCTTTTAATACTATTGAATTGATTTCAATTAAATTAATAGACTGATCAATTAGAGCATGTATAAAATTTCATCATAAAATAGTAAATATACTGCCCCTAACAGCAACTCCTAGGCTTGGATGTATCCATTTTATAGCACCACTGGAATTTTCAGCCTACCACTTGGTTGTATTCAGTAACCAAATAGCTGTAATCTCATATATTCATTTTTTCCCTGTAGGAATTGGATCAGGAGTCAGTTTTCAGTTTAGCAACAATCAAAAATTCAATATTCTGACATTGTATTCAACCACCAGGTAAGATTTGTTCTCCACCAAAAAAAAAAAAAGTACAGTTTCTCTGTTATTTCATACTTTTCCCCGTGTTTTTGTCATGTGATTTTTATGTGTGCATTCACATGCATGGATATCCCTTATAAACTGAAGCTTCAATGCATATCTTCACTTTTTCCTTCTTTCCTTCCTTCTCAAACTGCTAAATTTTCACATGTAAGCAATAAACCTTTTCCAAACCTTATACATACCAAATGTGTATGACTAATACATAACAGATGCTTCTGTCCCTCTTGATACCTTGATTGATGACTTTTTAAAACACTATATAAACTCATCCTGTATTTTCATATGCATCTTGCAGATTGCTAACCGTCTGTGTATGCACACTAGAAAAGGGGGGTTGGGGGGGTGGGAGGAGGCAGGGAGAAAAGAAACTGTTTTGCTGGCTCAGGCCATTTTCCTGTCCCTTTCCTGTGCTGCCTAGACTCTCAAAATTGAGTTTTTGCATTGTCAATTAACCTGACTACTGAAATATTGAAATATCTTTCAGTGTGGAAAGGAGGAGAGCAAGGGCAGAGCAAGCCGTTGCTGTGAATAAGATGTTCTACCAAGAGAACAGTGTAGTAGGGAATCAGCAAGCCGTGCACTACAGTGTAATAGCTCAAGTGAAAAAGGTGTGCGAAGTAGTTGATGGATTCATTTATGTTGCTAATGCAGAAGCTCATAAAAGTAAGGGGTTTCTCTTTATTTTATTTATTCATATTTTGTGAATGATTAGAATGTCATAAAAGATTGCAAAGAATATGCAAGACATCAAAAGCCATTTTCTGATTCTTTCAAAATCTGCTTCATTAGTGCTATTTCTTCATGGCTTATCCAGTTGAAGAGGTCCCCTATCCTAGATACTCTCCCACATTTCCCTGTGAGGGGTTCTGGCCCCTTCTTTCATTTATGGCAGATACTGATATGGTTTCTATCTAAGCTACGTGTGGGAAATGATCTGGATTAAAAAAAAAGCCAAAAACCCCAAACCAAAAAACACCCCTGGCCGTGGTTAGGAGAAACAGCCTGAAATGCCTCTTGTGGTGGTGTAATAGCCTGGAAACAGAACCTTCTCCAGGAAAACTGCAGTAAAAGATGCAAAGAGTGCCAATCACGATAGTCCTATAAGAGGATAATCCAAATACCTATTATGGTAATTGTCTTTACATTTATCAACTTTAAATGGAGGGAGAGGGCTAGCTCAGAAAAGAAGAGTAAAAAAAATGTGAAGGGATATACTAAGGAGAGAAGTACCATCAGTAGGGAAGGGCTGCTGACTGTACGGGGTGTGAGTGTTTCTTAATGGCTTGCTGCAGTTTTGATCTTTGCAAGGTACTTGGAAAACACCGTGGTGTTAAGGACTGGAATAGGCTGCCTGTAGAATCTATGGAGATCTTTAAATAACATCTAAGTGTGACATGAACATCTGCGTGACATGAATGTGAATGATCCAGCCTTGGGATAAGCAGAACTACATAATCTGGCCATTTCCCTTCCAGCTCTCTTGTTTCCTCACCTCTGATACCTTAAATATTTGAAAAGTTTTAAAAAAAAAGTTATCCTTGGGATTTGCATATATTTAATACTCATATACTAAAAATTGTTTCTTAGACCATGATCGTCAAGAGGAACTGGCTCGTATTTTGGCAATGATTGATCCAGCTCTTGGGCCTCCGAACAGACCTCTGCTAGTTTTGTCTTGTGTCTCTGACATTGGTGTGAAAAGAATTCCGTGTGTTTACGTGGCACATCAGTTGCAACTAAATCTGCTACATCAGCCCTGGATGGTACTTGCTTTTAAACCTTTTATTTTCTATTTCTCTGTGGCTTAAATTTAGTTTAGGCTTATGGTAGTTTCTGAACTGTACCCACCTAAGCAAGTGCAGCTTTCAACACTAGTACATGAGCTCTCCACTTAGGTGAAGAATTGAGTTTCTCTGGTCCTTTAAGATGAAGCATTAGCCTATCTGAACATAGGGGAGCTAAGTGGCTTGCCCAGGAGCACATGAGAAACTTCAGATGGAGCCAGAACGTAAGGAATGACAAAATGTTGGTCTCAGAGGGAGTAAGGAAGCTTCAGTTAATTTAAATCTAAATTTCCTGAGGATGACCCAAGGCCTTGGACACAAGGTGGATTTTTCTGCCATTTTCAGGAGACTGTTAATTTTTGCTTGCTTGACGTGATTATAGAGTTTTTGACAAATCAGATTTTTACCTAGCATGTGAGGTCCGGAACCTGTTCTTTTATGCTTGTCAAACACAGTATTTATCAGTATGGCTCAGCCACACATAATTTATTTTTGGTGATGTTGTGTGGCCGAAGAATAACACTTAATCAGAAAAAAACCAAAATCCTGATTTCAGATATTTCCTTTGTTTTCATAAGGAAAATGTTTACTGGCTTTTTAAAAGACATACCATTTATAATAACCACTTCATAATACGTTACAAAACCTGAGAATTAATAATGTGCATTGAATTCTAAAGCTAGCAGCATTTTTGCTTTAAGAGTTACAAGAAGAATTCTCAAGTAGATTCTCATCCATAAAGTAAGTATAATGTTCCAGAGTAGCTGATGGAACAACTGAAATAAAATTCACCTTGATACCAAGAATACAAGGCTCTCCTAACGGGTCTTATAAGTCATTTTGTAGAGTAGTGTTTTCTTTTTCTACCTTACTCTTAAGAAGTCTTTTTTGTCTAAGGGACCTTTAAGGCAGTGATAAAAATTTAAATTTGATGTGAGTATTTCTGACTTGAAGGATAGACATGGAGTGATGCTAAAATGCTGTTAGATCCTGTTACCTGTTATCTCTAATACATTAGCTTTTTTATTTTTACAGGTGCAGGACACTGTAGCTGCAACTTTAGCTGGATTGCTAAATGGAATTGAGTGGCTCCTGGAAGAAGCAAATTGTAAAAATGCACAGTAATGGAACTGCGCATTGTTTTACTGTATGGAGACTTTGGTGTTTTGCAGTTCAGACAAAGTAAGAATCTTGTCCTGGCAAAGCACTGTCAGAAAGGAGATTTAAAAGGCAAACCTGCGTATATTTCAGTGCATGTACTTTAATAATTAACATTCTTCCAACTGTAGTCCTGAATTAGAAGTAGAAGCAGGATTGCCTGGATTCCAGCAGCTGATGAAGAAGTGATTTGGGGGGGGCAATCTGGGTGGTTTGGTTTTTTTCTGTCTTTCAAGCAGGGGCCTTAGGGTGCAATTTTTTCTCAGTATATCTGGTAATCTAATCTCTTCTGTAAATGTACGTAACACTAGGTTGGTTTATCAGCACCCATTTAGTAGGTATATTCAATCTTGACAGTGATGGTTCCCAACCAAAGAAAATATACTATACATTGTACAGTAGTAAGTTGACAGAAAGACAGTATCCCTTCAAAAGAGTGAATTCTCCTGTATTTTTTCCAGAAACAATGCCTAGACAAGAAATAGCACCTGCCAGAGAATTGTTGGCCCAGACCAAAATTCTCAGAAGCAAACAAACAAACTACCATATATGAATTGGTTGTTTCTTGTTTGTGATCTTATTTATTAAACAACCACATAAGACTTCAGCATCTTCTGCTTTCTGTTGCAGTGAAATTATTAGCTTAAACTGGACATACCTCTGATGTCATGAATAAATGTTGAATCATTAGTACTGCAGGACATTTATCAAATGCACAGGACCTATCAGTTACTCAAATAGTTGTGGCCATTTGCAGATGTGAAGTGTACTTGGCTTGAAATTTTCTACACAGTTGCAGATATTTTTATAAAAAGGGAAACAACATTTTAGAGCTGGAATTGCATTTTCCATATTGATGTCATTTGGGATAGTCCTAGTCTTCCACCTTTTTGATGTTTTTTAATTATTGGATGAATGTTCAGAAACTTCCCTTGGATTTCTTGCCAGTGCATGTAGTTGCTTTGTTCTTTTTGTTTTGTTTTGTTTTTTCCCTCTCTCTCTCCATGGAAATGCAATAGTCTCACAATTTTTTCTTGGTACCTAGATAAATGATGACATGGTGCATATTCAGCTGTAACTGCCTTCAGTCTGGTATGTGTGTCTGATGCTCAACACAGCTATGTCAGAAACATTCCGTTTGAGAATTTTCTTATTTTTTAATGAACTAGGACAGACACAGGAAGTGTTGGGGTTTTGTTTTGTTTTTTTTTTTCATCTTTAGGCACAATTAACTCAGCTTTCTAGATGTTTTTGTATGTCTTCTAATCAGGACCTATGGGAGTTTCAAGGGGAGACCAATGGGAAGCTATACCATGATAATTCTGTGTTTTATCCTTTTTTTTTTTAATAGGGGGTGTGTGCTTTGCCCTTTAAAATAGAGAAGACACAAAAGATTTAGGAGCATTTGAGGGGAAATTCCACACTTTGTGACTGGGTGTATGTGACCTTCCTGCTAGTCATAATAATCCCGTAATGATCTATCTGTAGAGGGTTGAATGTAGCAACCTGTTGCTATGTTAGCTACTACAAATACGTTTTTTTATGTGAGATCCTCGTTCTGCTTTCTTCATAAGGAATAAATTATTTTTTAAAGAATGATATTTACAGTCTCTCTGTGTGTGTTAAGCTCCTCCGCTTGCATGCGCATGTGCACATACAGTGTCTGCAGTCATGCTGTCATAACAGATAACAAATCATCGTGTCATCATTAGTCATTAATGAACAATGTTATTGTATGTTATCTGTTTAATTAACAGGTATTAATTCACTGACATTTTAAAGGGTCAAGATAATGTAGGGAATATAATTTTTCTTAAAGAACATCAGCTATATTAACTTAAAGATAGGATAACTTAAAGAATTAAGGATCACGAGTTTTAAGGATGCAGGCTAGGAAACAAAGAGTGGGAATTATAAGTCTGCGCAGTCACAGAGCTCCAGCATTACAGGAATCACAGAGCTGGTGGTGGGGTGGTTTGTGTGATTGAGTACTGTGGTGGATCGATACAGGCAAGGAAGATGAGCGTGTGGAAGAACAGCTTAGATGCGCAGAGGTATGCTATGGAACAGGCAACCAGCATGTTGAGAATTCATATGCCAAATAGTTGCAGAGATGCACTGTGGATTTCATTTAGCACTACCTTTTAGGTTTCACCTAAAACTTCCTACTGTATAAATTCCCGAGTCTGCTGTGTTTAGCAGCATAGTAAGTCAATTAAGCTTGGGACTTAAATTTACGAATTCAAAGTGAGTTAGATATGGAATATTAGAACGTCACTAAAATGTATTTTAAAACTTTTTAATATTAAATTTCTTTAAAAAATCTATTTGGTTTTGTATTTATCACAGCAAATGCAACTGTGATGGGTTTGTGAGAAATAAAATCATCAGGATCTGGATCCCAGAAATCTTGCTCTCCTGGGGATTAAGGATTCTAACAATGTTCAAACGAAAATAATTTTCCTGCCCACTGAGGCAGGATGTTTATCTAAACAGTGGTCACAAAATAAAAGGTTAACATGACAATACACGTGATTTATGAGAAAACTCAGTTACTGAGGCTTCCCCTGAGCAGCTTTCCCAAAAAGAAAGCAGCTGTGGGGGTGGTAATTGTCACGTCTCCGAAGCTTGGAAGAACAAAAATGCCTGCTGCCAGCTCCAGAGCAGTACGTGAGGGTGCCTGCCAGGACACGGGAGGCAGCGCCCTGGCAGCGTCCCCGCAGCTTGCTCGGGGTCTCGCAGTTTCTTCCGACGGAGCGGCCCTGGGTGGTCACCGCGGCTGCGGGCGGGAGCGGCAGGAGGCACCCACCCTTCGCTTCCCCAAAGCTTCGGAGGGGAGTGGTGCCTCCCCGCGTGTCCCGCTGGATGGCACTGCTGAACCACATCAGTCGCTGACGCGGGGCAGGCAGCTTCCCTACACCCTCTGCCCAAGCTGCTTCGCGTAATCAATTTTACTCCCTCCTCAGATATGGCAGCAAGCAGATGCACTTATAGAAAAGCCTATGAGAAAATCAACATGTTTTTCAAAGGCTTATAGACGTGCGATATGCTGCCTCTTCTTTTAATCTGGTGGGTATTAAAATTGATTTGTATGGTAGGATGAGTATTGCAGCTAGAGAGAATAGCTGGAGTCGCTGTTAGGAGGATGTATGGAAATAATCGCCGGTGTCATTGCAAGGTGATTGACGCTTTAGTCTGTGATTTAGTTTGTCTTTTGTGCCATCTTAGCACCAGTGGTGCTGGATAAATTATTTTCCGTATGTACAAGAGTAAAGAAATATTCTTCAGCCAGTTGCAGAAAGTGATATTATAGTTAGAGCTTGCACTTACATCTCAGGCCAGGGGATGTTTGCACACAGGCTGCTCTTGGTTCCCTCAGGAGGATGAAACTACAGATGAAGAATGTAGGTAAGCGTTTAGCAGAGATGTTCAACAGGTGAGACAGAGCAAACAACAAAACACTGTGGATCCGGATAGAGGGGTATATTTAAGAACCATTGAGATTAGATTATCTCCCATGCTAGCTCACTCCCCCTCCAGCAAGGCATTCGCTAAGTCTACCCTTCCCAGCAGGGAGGTCACAGCTGGTCCATGGTCAGGCAGAAAGTCCTGTCTGTCTGTGCTGTGGAACTGCTTGCAGGTACCAGTCTGGGCAATACTAGCCAAGGTCCCTCAGCAGATACTCCAGCCTCGTAACTGTCTTAGTGGCCCTTTGCTGTATTCTCTCTGGTTTACATCTCACGTACTGGAGGCTTAAAACCGGACACCCTGCTTCAGATTCAGACCCACAAATCCTGGACAGAGGGAAATGAGCGCTTGTCCTCAATGTCGCCTAGTATGTGGTTAGCCTTCATCACTGCACAGGCATACTGCGGAATCCAGGTTCACTGGTCCACCAAGAGCTGAGGTGCCTTTTGCAGAGCTGCTCCCAAACCAGTCAGTCCCTGACCTGCACTGACGCACACTGTGTTCCCTCCTAGATGCAGCACTTTCCATTTGTCTTTGCTCAACATCTGGAGGTTCCTGAAGCACCTGTTGGCCCCTTAATTGCACACTTGCAATATTTCTGGAAGTCCTTGCACAAGGAGCCTACTATCTCTGGGAACACTGGCCCTGCACATGACAGCATGCAGAATCAGTCACCTGATGGGAGACCAAAAGGGCATTCAGTCTTTTCCTGAAGTCTGAAATCAATCAAGCCATGTGCTCCATCAAAAAATTCGAACAATACTAGTTTTAGAGCCTCAAAGTAAATTCTTCCATAGTTTGGCAAACTGGTAGGAGACAGGAGCTGTGGGTATGAAAGGCTGATATTGTCCCAGAAGTACATTTCACCAAGCTCTGAAAAGTGTTGCATTGTGAAATGATCCTGGTGACAACCCAGAAACACCTACTGTATTCATTAAATTATTTAATACTTCTCTCTGCAAAGTGATACAATAAAATAAACTCTTCTCTTTGTTCTTAGGAATGACAATCAAGGAACTGAGGTAGGTAGAGAGGGACTGAGGGACTGAGGGCTGTATTTCTTAATAGTGTTCTGTTGACAAAGGGCTATCATTTTGTGTGGCATCTTTCGTATCTTCTCCACAAACTTAAATTATGAAGACAATTCCACAGCCTGGTGTCAGGGGAGACATGTTCCACAAACGTATAAGGGCTACTCTCCAAGAACACAACCAAACCTTTTTCTCTACTTCAAATCAAATCCAACTTGTCTTTTATGAAAGGGTTTTATGCAAGTTTCCTAAACGAATCTAGAAACAGCAGTTGCTTAGAACTTTCCCCTGTAAGACTGATAGTATTCACAGCGAATTACCTTTGAAATTCAGCTGGCTTCATCTTAAATTTTGTGGTGATTTAAAGACATGTCCTTTTTTTTTTTTTTTTATTCATATGAAAGCAATAGTTTAAATTTGACCTGCATATGTGCTATACATTACATTCTGTGCAATAAATTATTTTAAATTTTGTCATGAATCTGAATCATGAAGATTTAAGTAATCAAGTTACCTGGGAATCCTCTTTTTAGAATATAACCTTCATTCATCACAAGTCCAAACCTTGCACAGTGTAGCATAAGGATGCACTGATACAGCTGCACATTATCCTTCTTTTAAAAAGCACAAGCTATTTGCAAGACAATAAATGCAAATTACGAGTTTAATTAACACAAATATTTTTAAAATCTTAATTTTTTTCCAAAATTAGAGACTTAGATTTTGTAAAAACATAAATTATTGAGAGCAAATTACCTAATTACCACTACATTCATATAAAATAAGAGGGTCAACTCTAAGTATAATCAACATGTGACTGAAT